AAGTTTGAATTCCATCATGTAGTCAAAGACTAGGACACAATGGTCACTGGCCCCTAGAGGTATTTCATGCTCTAAATTCTCGATATCTTCTACGTTCTGGGTGAAAATCAGGTCTAATAGGCTCGGTGCATCTCCTCCTCTTTCCCTTGTGTCTTCCTTCACATGTTGTGTCAGGAAATTCCTGTCTATAACATCTACTAATTTTGCTCCCCACGTTTCGTCCCCTCCATGGCTATTCCTTGATTCCCAATTTATCTCTCCATGATTTAGGTCCCCCATGATCAGCAGCTTCGCTCTCATTCTGTGGGCTAGTGTTGCTGCCTTCTGCAGTTCATCTATACATGCTTTGTTGTTGTCATCATACTCCTGCCTGGGTCTTCTACTGTTTGGTGGGGGATTGTAGATTATCAGGATCACAATCTTCCTCCCATCTACTGTCAGAGTTCCATGTATGAAGCTTGTGCACTCATTGGTAACTCGATTTCCCAGGTCTTCAAACTTCCATTTCCGCTTTATTAGGAGTGCTACTCCCCCTCCCTGTCTCTGTGTCCTCTCTTTTCGTATCACCTGGTACCCTTCAGGAAAGATTGCATCTGAGATCATGTCATTAATTTTAGTTTCCACAATTGCAACTATGTCAGGATCTGCTTCACTCACTCTTTCTTTTATCTCTTCTGCTTTATTAGATACCCCATCAGCATTGGTGTACCAAACCTTGAGATTCTTCATGGAAACTCTTGTACCAGAGTTCTCCCTTTCTCTGGGGGTCTGGGGGGATCTGGGGATGTCTGGGGGGTGACTGGGGGCAGAGGGGATCTGGGGGATCTGGGGGGTGTCTGGGGGATGACTGGGGGCGGGAGGGTCCGGGTGTGTGTGTGTGTGTGTGTGTGTTTGTGTGTGTGTGTGTGTGTGTGTGTGTGTGTGTGTGTGTGTGTGTGGAGGGCTGACTGGGGTCCAAACTCACCAACATAATAGCCTGTTTTCCAACGATGTCCAGCACTAAGCTCTCTGGACCCTCCTGCCTACACCAACACACACGCTTAATATTGTCTTTTGTGCCCTGGTGTGTGTGTGTGTGTGTGTGTGTGTGTGTGTGTGTGTGTGTGTGTGTGTGTGTGTGTGTGTGTGTGTGTGTGTGCATTCAGCTAGCTGTGCTTGAAGGAGGGGGACGAGCTTCATCTATTAGGTCGCGCCTCTCAAGAATCTGTGTATATAAAGTGCCACACTTCTCCGTAAGTGTGTTCAGATCTGAAACCTATACCTATGGGCAGCACAAAACATCCACCAGACTGTGCGACACAGTGGTTGCCAGGATCAGGTTGGGTTACCGTTACCTGTGGCAGGTGGCTACAGGTGACGGGTCTCCCAATCCTTAGCACTCCAGGTGCAAACTCTGTGAGCAGGAACTACGGCATGATCTCCCGCACTACATCACTGAATGCCCAGTTCTTAGACCTTTCAGACCAGTTGGCATGAGGTACCTGGAGCTTTGCAATTACTTTATTCACTCTCGTGTTCTTGAAGATATCCTCATATTGCACCCGAAATTTGCCAGTGTAGGTTACTGAACATATGGCCCTGTATGACTAACCATCCTGCGAGATGGGGACTATTATTACCACTGCTGCCTTATTCACTCTTGTGTTGATGATATCCTCATAATGCACCCAGAATTTGCCAGTGGAGACTACTTATCACATGCCTCTAAATGACTCATTTAAGTAGCCATTAAAGTCATGTAATAAGTAGTCTCAGTGGAGACTACTTATCACATCCTGCGTTGTAACAGTATTCTACCTTGTCAATTTCACTGAGAATCTTACATGTCGTTATCATATCTGATTTGTTCCATTACTCTTCAAGTTAGATGAGGATTATCTCTCATTCTTTATTTACAGTTTGCTACGCAGGGTACCCAAGTGTGCTCGGGGTCTCTTCCCCCTCCCTCATTCCCCTCTCACCCAATCCACCCCCTTCCTCACCCTCTCCACCCTCATCTCTCTCCCTCTCTATTATGCAGCACCGCAAAGCTCCTAAACCACTAAGGGTATCAAATACCCGATATCAGACTTCATTAAATCGCTGGGGGTTGCTATAGATGCCTGTATTTCTAAAACGTATGGCACTGGGGCCAACCCCGACTGACCTATGACACTCTCATACCCCCTCCTGCATTTTACTTTAGGAAGTTTGTTGGGGGCCTGGCCTCCTACTCTGGATACAGACAGATGTTGTAGCTTACAGATTTAAACCTTTGCATAGCTGGTACGAACCTCGATGTACACCTCTGGAATTTGGGTTCTAGTTTAGTTGGTTTGTTTGGTCCCCGAGGTGGGGCACTGATCGAGGATGGTGGTGGTGGTGGCCTTATATTAACTATTAGGTCTTCTAGGCTTGGGGTATATTAACTATTAGGTCTGCTAGGCTTGGGGTATATTAACTATTATGTCTGCTAGGCTTGGGGTTACATTAACTATTACGTCTGCTAGGCTTGGGGTATATTAACTATTAGGTCTGCTAGGCTTGGGGTATATTAACTATTAGGTCTGCTAGGCTTAGGGGTTACATTAACTATTACGTCTGCTAGGCTTGGGGGTTACATTAACTATTACGTCTGCTAGGCTTGGGGTTACATTAACTATTAGGTCTGCTAGGCTTGGGGGTTATATTAACTATTAGGTCTGCTAGGCTTGGGGGTTACATTAACTATTACGTCTGCTAGGCTTGGGGTTACATTAACTATTAGGTCTGCTAGGCTTGGGGGTTATATTAACTATTAGGTCTGCTAGGCTTGGGGTATATTAACTATTAGGTCTGCTAGGCTTGGGGTTACATGAACTATTAGGTCTAATAGCCTTGGGGGTTGTATTAACTATTTGGTCTGATAAGCTTGGGGGTTTTATCTACCCACAGGTTCGCTAGGCTTGGAAATATATTACCTTTCAGGTGTGCTAGGCTTCGGGGGGTTATACTCTCAGGTCCTTCACTTTTGCAGTTTAGGAACTACGTCTTCTTTTCATTTAGTATTTTTTCAGTGAGTCGTTTTGCCTTCGCCCCTGTCCTCATTACTACGACTCTTCCCGAGGCTCATTCAGGTCGTCATTTTCATTTATTACGTCATTTAAATATGTTTGATTTTTTACGGATTAAACTTTTTTTTTTTTTTTTGCATATATATAAGTAACCCATTACATATGAAATGGAATGAGTGATAGGGAGAGGGCAGTCCTGGATCATTACCAAGTACGGTTTGGACTTGATAAAGAGTCAAAGACGTTCGAAAAGTTGTCCCTTTCTATCCCCTTATGTGTGTGGGATGGGTACTTGTTTCAAGTCACGTTACTGGCACCTATTCGCTGCCTTTATATGTTCGTTTAAGGTTGCTGATCTTGGTGCGTTTCTTGAATAATGGGTCTTCCTTATGACAGTACATGCAACTGGCGATCACGAAACACTGATCATTTGTATGCGGAAAATTTTCCGCATGACAGTACATGTATCGCCGGTGGGGGGACACGTACATAATGTGGTCTGTTGCACCCCAAATACTTTACCTACCTACTTTTCCCCTTGACTGGTATAGCATATACATGTAAGATTGCATATGCAGGCGATGAGTCACAATAGCGTGGCTAAAGTATGATGACCAGACCACACACTAGAAGGTGAAGCGACAACGACGTTTCGGTCCGTCCTGGACCATTCTCAAGTCGATTGTGAATTCACAATCGACTTGAGAATGGTCCAGGACGGACCGAAACGTCGTCGTCCCTTCACCTTCTAGTCTGTGGTTTGGTCATCAAGATTGCATATATTAGGTCTAAGATTATTTATAGTACATCTAGGCTATATTAGATTAGGTTGTTGTGTGGGCATATAGTTTCTAATCTATAAATTTATGATACAAAATAAATTGATCGCATTTACCCGTAAGGATATAAGGAAAAGGCAACCACAGGAGACCTATAGGCCTATAGGAGACAGCTCCTATTTACGTCTATCCAAATTCAAGCATTTATATGTCTGACCTACGCTTGAAAGAATCCAAAGACTTATGAAGGCAAATATACCGCATTTGATAAAATATTAAAGCCATACAATGGGATCGAACTGGCGTCTCTGGGCTCCCAGAACACACGCACTACCCATTGAACTATGATGAGCTTAGAAGTATTCTATCAGGACGTCTGTGCCCTAGACCTTGACCTCTCACAACAAGTGACGGCAAGGTCATGTATTTACCCAACCACATATGTAAGTTACAGTATTTATCTCCTGTACGGTAGTTTGGGGGTACGTTAGTGTGTTCATCTCTCCTAACTTATGGGGGGTGAGTCAGTATATTCACGTAACTTATGAGGGGGGAGTCAGTATATTCACCTAACTTATGGGGGGTAAATCAGTATATTCACCTAACTTATGAGGGGTGAATCAGTATATTCACCTAACTTATGGGGGGGTGAATCAGTATATTCACCTAACTTATGAGGGGTGAATCAGTATATTCACCTAACTTATGGGGGGTGAATCAGTATATTCACCTAACTTATGAGAGGGAAGTCAGTATATTCACCTAACTTATGAGGAGTGAGTCAGTATATTCACCTCTCCTAACCTTCGAGGGAGTCATTATATTCACTCCCTCCCAACTTACGGGGGTGAGTCATTATATTCACCTCTTGTACCTTACTTGAACCAATCCATTCACCTCATGTGGGTTAGAAAAGTAACTTGCCTCAAATGTCTCACGGCCGAGTGGGGAATGTTGCCGGGTTTTGACTCATCAAGAACCACTGCATTAGTTGAAATGACTCACCTAGCGGGACATGAGATTACTTAGTTTAATTCCTGGAACTGAGCTGAGATAGTGAATACATGGGAGAAAACGGACTCACCTGAGGCGGGAGCGACGTGGGAGAATAAGAGGGCCTGGATGAGGTGGGACAGCCACGTGGGAGGACTCACCTGAGGTGGGAGGGCAACGTGGGAGAGGGACTCACCTGTGATTGGAAGTGTCCACAGAAGAATGAGAGGGAATGCCAGAAGAAGAATGGTGGACCTCCTGGGGACAGTCATCGCTGGCGAGTCTTCGAACTTGTGAGTCTTCGGCAGCTTGAAAGACGAAGCCGAGGACTTGAGGCTCTTCAGGAGTCTTGTAACGGCCAAAGCAACTGAGACTTAAGACCTCAAACCTCAGGGGGTCTTGACGAGGACTCAAATACTCCGCAAGGGCTGTAAGACTGATAATATCTATGTCCTAAGGAACTCTGCCGTCTTGAGGAGCAGGGAGAACTTGAAGAGTCGTTGAAGGTCTGAATCTCCAAGAAATGGATGATTTTCAAGTAGTTTAAGGATCTTCGAGTCTTCCTTGAGGAGTTGTGTTAAACCCTCTCCCTTGTTGAAGAGTGACTTGGGAGTTGCTCTTGCGGTGGAGTAGAGCGCGTGGCACGGGAGGCTGGAGCGGTACACGTGCGGACGGCCTCGCCTGCAGCCA